GCCATTGTTCGGGTTCCCCAGCAACGAGCCGGACAGAGGCGATCGCCGTGATCGCCCCGTGAGCAACATGTTCGGCGAGGACGCGGCCGCAGCAGAGGCAGGGCCGGCGGGGCCGCCCAGCGCCCTGAGCCTGCTCGCCGTGCTCGCATCCGCGGCCCTCTGCTGGGTGCTGTACAGGGTGAGGAGGCAGCCCGGGCCGTGCTCGCGAGCACTGAGTGGAGCGGGGCCATGACCCTGGCTGTGCTGACCTTGGTGTTGGCCGCTGACCAGGTCCGCATGCGGCAGTGCGAGGCTGTACTGGATGAGATGGGCGTGGCCCTGGAGAACGTTCGGCGCACGGCGGCGGCCCTAGAGACGCGGAGGAGGGTCGTCAAGGCAGCGGTGAGCTGAACCGCTAAACACACTTCTCGGTCGAGCTGCTGTAAGACCACATACCTCCCTCTCGCCCACAGGCGGTGACGGCGGAGAAGGCCCTCAAGGAATACGACGAGTTCCTCGCCATGCTCCGTAAGATACAGGAGGTGAGGCGTTTTCTCCCTTCTTCGGGGGCATAGTCCGCGCCATGTCGCTGTGTGTTGCGCTGGGTGCAGGAGGGGCGGCCGCGCCCGGACCTGCCCGTCCTGCGACACCAGCTGGACGTGGAGACGGTGCGCGCCCGGGTCAGCATGGTGCAGGGCAGCCTGCTGGCCATGTCGCAGGAGGTCCTCAGCCTCGGGGCGTTGCCCGCCTCAGTCTGTCCGGACAGTAAGGTGAGGACCCTGTCCCAAACTCCAAACTACAGCGTGATGCCTCCCTAAAGCGTGAAAGGCGTGTGGCCAGGCCCGAAGGAGCGGGTGGGTATGCTGTTAGCTAGTCAGCATGCAAGCGTGCGGGCGGGTTGCCTATGTGGCATGGGCTGGCCGCCCACTCTACAGCCACACCGTACCCGCCGGCACAGTGCGGTACAATTGTATTCATGCCCCACATATCCTGCAGGGGGACGTCTTATCATCTTTGCAGAAACACCGCAAGTCGTACACGCACATGTCAGAGGAGCTCCTAACTCTACTCGACGAGCGTGTGTCGGAACACGTCAGCGATGCCTTATTCAGCGCACCTGGCACAACATAGCCGCGGAGTCATTGCTTGCAGCGGCGTTGGGGTTGAAAAATAGTATTATATGCAAAAATTGTATTATTTTTTAAACTTTATTTGTTTAAAAATAGAAAACAAAAGCTTTACAGCATCAAATTGAATAGCTTGATATAGTTGTAACAACCAGATCTTGACAGCAAGTGATTAGTGTGGAGGCATGTCAATGAAAATAAATAAATAAATATGCTTTCCATGCTCCAAAGCTGAAAGAGCAAATTAAAAAGAAACCACACACCACACATGCATTCACTTGCAATATTCAATTTGAACATATTACAAATGCAGCCCCACATTGTATGATGCGGTATGACAAAGCAAGTCTGTAAATGACAATCTCTGAAATGAAAAAACACCTTATTGTAATTGTAAATTATTTGCACATAAAAGTTATCTTCACACAGCCAATGTAGCAACCCACAAATTCAATTTATGGTGGATTGTTTATTATACTGTAAGCAAGCTCTGTAAGCTCAATATTTGTTCAACTAATTCCATACTAGGTATAAACAACACAAAACTAAAATGATCAACTATGTAAAGAGAATGATTACACACCAATAGATGTCAGTCTACTTCAAAAAATTCATAATTTTAACATATTTTGAAGGACAAAACAAATGGTTATGATTCTGTTTTACTTACAACCAACAGGTCACAAACGAGGCAGGATAAGTTTATCAGTCAGTATGAAATATGAAATTAAGAGAAAGTAGCTTCCACATGAAAAGAGCTACAGGAAAAGGAATGTCACTGATAAACTATCTTATTTAACAAAGCTGCACAGGTTAACAGGTGACAGGGAATAATAATGATCAGTACATGTCCCATACATGACTTTGATATCACTTGGGTATATTGGGTATACTTATTTTATAAAAAGTAACAGTTTAAGATAAAAGTCATGTATATATGAACTAGTTCAATAGAACAGTTTGAGAAACACAGTAAATACAATATATGAAGCAGTGGATGTGTAAAATTGAAGGTGAGGTCACCTCAAAAGGGGATGATAATATTGTGCTCACTTTATAAAAGTCCAAGCAAATTGAAATTGGTACAAGTTGAGATTTACATTCACTAAAAACGGAGGTAATTTCTACCAAGTATTGGTATACCAAAAAAGCTTTTGCTCACAACTCAAAATGGTACAAGTCATTGAAAAACAGGTAAAACTAGAATCACTGAGCAGTCTGTGCTCTTGTAATGAGCAAAAATGAAATTAGCCACATATCAGGACAAGGACATTACTTCATAAGCATATCAAAGGGAATTAAATGGATATTTATCACATCACAATTCACAGGAAACAAATTCATATTTTAATAAAAATAAAACTCATTATAAAATGTCAAGCAGGAAGTAGAAAGCAAGTTCAGTGATATCACTAAGGAGGTATCCTTCATAGTGAACAAACATTTCGGGGATTATTTTGCAATAACTATAGATATTGAGAAAAACGCAGGCATTTACTCTAAGAGTACTCATCTTTCAATTTCAACTAAATATTTTGTTATCAAGGCAAATATACCAAAACTTTGGTAACCAGGTTCTTTATTGGTTCTCATATAACCAATAATCAATACAAGCAGCACACACACCACTACTGGAAACCATTTGATATGATTGATAAAGTTGTCCTCTTGCCTTTCCCATTTTATCTCTATTATGGTGCCTTAGACCTTTTAAAACTCACCTGACAAAAGAACACAACTGAACATAAATAAAAGCTTGCTACGCATTGAAACTATGCAAGCGAATTTGTGTCATAAAATTAAAGACGAATGAAAATAGAGAGTAAAAAAAGAGGGTATTTTGCAAACATTAAATTAATATAGATACATTCTCCTAAATGATAAGATAGATTAAAGTATGGTCCAGCCATTATACATATATATCAAGATATATAAATAACTGTGTATATATGTGTGTACATCATGTATGAACAGTCAACATAATCAGTCTGAAACAGTTTTCTTCCCCTTTTTAAGAGAACTTTTAATGATGAGTAGGTAAAGGATATGCTCCCAGCAGTCCAACTCTTTACTCTTAATGTTAAATGTGGAAAAGAGTGACCATTACTCACTATCAATTCTCATACCACTGACAACTCATAAATAGTAATTGCCCCTACTCAGTCTTACTGACCTTTGTAGTTCCATTACTATTTTGGAGTACTTTTCCGTATGATGAACTTTTGGTTATTTTTGTGAGTCCTATCAGCAGATAAAACAAATACGAAACTGAAAAATAAAAATAAATTTTGTGTTATTGACCATTTGTACACAGATCTCATATTTATTCGTTTTTTATCAATACAATTGTACTTACTTGCAGCAACTAAAAGTACTCCAATGCAGAAGTAGAATAAAGACCCCGAGAACAGAAGTGAGATTAGCACGTAGCAAACTGATGGAAGTGTAATAAGAGCCCAGCCCACTGAATTTAACAGTGAGTACCAACGTCGCTTAAGGGTGAAAGGTTCTAGGGGAGGCACTCCACTGTTTTCGAAGAAACTGCCAGTTTTTTTGAAGCTGTCGATCATTTTATCCTAGAGGGAAAAGAGAGAAAATGAGAAACTGTAATAGAAAACTTAAAACATTTTGGCAACGTACATTGCTAAGTGGTATACCTTTTTAATATAAAGATCATGAAGCCATTTGCTTGCTCCCTCATCATCCAGTGGCACTTCATCCAAAGGAATACGCTGCATGTACATATGAGCTTCTACATATTTTGCTTTGAGAAGACTAGTGATAGTTGGGGCAACAGGATGGGATTCTCTGCAAGAAAGAAATTGCAACTGGTGTAAAGCAACTCTCTGATGATACAGCACACTTAAGATGATTAGACATACTTGACACATAATGTCACATCATAAATGGCCCCAAATTTATTGCGCATGTAAGGTATTGAAGTAATGAAGCCTTTGACACGGGGTGAAAGAAGATGTTGTAGACGGGGTAAATTATGTTCCTCGGCATACTTTAAACTGGCTTCATGTTTTTCTTTGGTGAATCTAGTTCCCTCAGCAAACAGTAGCAGCTAAAGGGGAAAAAAGAAAGCATGTTACCTAATTCTCCATTTTAATTAAAAACACAGGGGATGTAAACAGCAAAAGGTTTCTTGTCATTCCTTACACTTATGGGAGTAGGATGGTTTGCGAGTTCTGTGATTTGTCGTCCGATAATTTCTTTATCTTTGTCCCAGTTTCTCTCAAGAAATACAGATTCAGCAAATTTCCATGTCCAACCTACTGTTGGAATAAATTGAATACTCTTTTTAGCATAGCACTTGCAGTTCTATAAAAAATCAGAAAGATACAACTTAATTTGTAGCAATAGATAACAAAACTAGTCAGTGAGGGAAAAAAAAATCACTACAAAAACTTACCCCAAGAATACCTATTCTCTCACATAGAAGGAATCCCATTAACCAATCGATTTCATATGAATGGTTCATAATAAGGCACCCATGTTCTTTGTTGTAATATTTTTTCAGACTTTCTTTGTCAATATACAAAATGGTTTCAGAGGGGGACCACCATTCAGCCAAAAACACAAACTCTGAAATCAACACCAGATGGGATTTATATTTAAAGTATGTCAAAATAAAAGTAAAATAAAAAGAATAAAACTTACGACAATTTAGAGAGTAGCACAGATATTGGTTGATAATCCGGTACCAATGTCGACTAAATTTATATAAGCTGACATAAAGAAGAGCTTGTAAAATATTGATAGCCAAACCAGAGATAAAGAAATTCACAGCCAGCAAAAGATGTGCCACGGATGATCTCTTCAGGGAGTTTACGAGAGACATTTTCATGCCACCTGAAACAAATTAAAGGCCCAAAATTGACACATGTTATTCTGCTACACAAGAACACAATTCTTTAAAGGGTGAAAAATCTAACTTCCATAAAAAGCAGAGCATCTAAAGTCAAGTGCATCAAATCTTATAATTTCTAGCAAGGTTGCCTCTGCCAATGACAAGAACATCAAACAAAGATAGATAGAAATCAGAATAGAAGTTTGGAGTAGATGAGAACTCTCACACTCTCACACTGGTACTGGAAACCCAAACTGACAAACATAAAGAGATGCCAGAGCGGTAGGGTGAGGAACAGAAAAAGAATGAAAAAAAGGAAACATTTGATAGAACAAACAACAACCCCTCCCCACATGCAACGTCTCAGGAAGAGCTAGCTGGCCAGGTGCTAATATGTGGACAGACAAGTCCTGCCACTACACAGTTAAAATTTGAGTGATGATAGACCAAATTAACAATGTTTCGGAATGAGTCAAATATATGGTTTGACTAGGGCACATTCTATGTAGTGATGACCTTGATAAATTAACATGAGACTCAGGCATGGGAGTTGGGAGGTATCAGATCAAGGCATGAGTTGTACTACGTAGAGGGAGATAGAGAATGTGAGAGAGAGACGAAAAGACCGTGACAACTACACAGAGTTAGGTCCAGAAAAAGAACGGAATGTAAAAATACTCCAACTTATTTTCTTTCTTTTCAATTTTCAAACTGCACATAACTGTTATACAAATTATATCCATGACTAACTTGTATGAAAAATGAAAGAGAAAAAAGGATATCTGTTGCTTCCCTTCCCCTACCCTCTCACCCTAGAAGCCAAGCAAGAAGACTTTCACAGAAGATAGTAACAAAATGAGAACGCAACCATGTAAACGAACTGGTCTCGTTCAACAAATCAATTTGATTAATTGATTGCAGTGCAGAAAACATGGGGAGTCTTGTTGCACTGTTTTGTTTAGACAGCAGTAAGGTATTGGTTAACTCACTAAAAAAAATATTTCCAAGAGTTTTCAAGACGACCAGCAAAATGCGACAGCACTTACGGACGACTCCGACGAGACTGACAATCGTACGACGAGACCCCTACGAGGTCCCACACTAGTGCGACTACGACTTGACGACCAAAGACCCACAGCCAGTTTTTTCCCGCCCGCCCCTACCCGCCCCCAGGTACCCCTCCCACACCATGCCCACACCCAGTCAGCGCGGCCCCGCACCGGCACACGACAACTTCTCACGATTATCGCCGTCTGACAAACGCATACTACTCAAGCACAGTAGAAAGTTCATCCCTCAACCAAAGATCAGAATAACTAGACGAAAATTGGACCTGTTCCTTCTCGGTTTCCTATTTTTCACTCGCGACCAACCAAGGAGCACATAGCGTACCGGATAAATCTTGGACAGGATTGAGTCGTACATCAGGCGATCCTCGGAAATTAGAATATTACTCAACACTTATACTGGTTTTCAGTTGTCACGGACCGAGTGAGCACGAAGAGACGTATTCATGTCAGCGGTTCGACAACGACTGTCCCAAGAAACGAAGGCGAAGGAGCAAGAGGAGGAGGGATCTTTATCGTCCTTTATCCTGTTGATGGAGATACTACTACAGTCAGCTGGGCTATCACGTTTGCTTCGCCTGCGGTTCGTCTCCCGACACGGCCAGCGAGCTAGTTCACTTCCCTTTCCCCCTCCCCCTCAAGGTCCGCCCACCTTCTGGCGCCCGTCCCCACCGTTCTCTGTTGCCGAAGATCTAATCGTATAGTAATGAGGAAACTGCGTGAAAAAAAAAAATCAACGCACGGGTATCAATAATAGATTTAAACAGCACAAGCTGGCAGTGACGACGGCGACGACGGTCGGAGCGACGTCTATTCGCAGAAGCGAGCAGAGCAACGTGATAGCCCTTAGAGGCGCGCCCCTTTCTTGCGCCTTTCCTCTTCCTCCCCATGGACACCACCCACCTCACCACCCAACCCTTATCTCCCAAACCAAACGCCCCTCCCCTCGTCCACACAGCTCCACACGTTGCTGTTGCTCTCGCCCCTCGCTACGCCCTCCCTAGCCCTCCCTGCCCCCCTGCTGCCCCTAGCTCTACCCCTAGCCTCCCAGGAAAGCCCTACCCTACCCCCATTCATTCCCCTTGGCCCGGCGACGTTTCCCCTTTCTCCCGAGGAGCCCCCTTCCCCCTTCCCACTGCCCCCCTCCCCTCTCTGAGTGCCTGCCCCCTCCCTCCTCTCTCTCTCTCCCTTTCTCCCTTTCTCCTCGTCTGCTACCGCCGCGAGGTTGCTCTGGCTCCGGCTCCCGGCAGCAACTTTCTTTCTGTGTAAACATTGCAGAAAATACACTCTCGAGGTGAGATATTGTCAATAAAGAAATGCGTCCCATACAAAGTTTCAAGTACTCACTTGAAAAACCGAAGATAATTGCTTCTACTAAAACGAGCATCACCCGTAATTACATCAGCCATGTACCTGATCTCGTCAATTATTCTTTATGATGACGTACATGTCATTAGTAATTAGACACGTTTTATTGAATGTTTAAAGAAAACATTGAAAGCCTGTTTCCATACGGAGAGTGTTAGTGGGAAACGGTTATTTTAAACCTGACTTTGAGGTTAGTGGCCCCCAGTGTTTCTTGACATATTGGACAAAAAAACAGCTGTCAAAATATCTTTTTGGATCTTTTGTTTGTTTTATGAGAATATCTTTGTTTGAGTCTCCCTGATTACTTTTTTAGAACATTCTTGTCAACTTGCCAATTTATTTGATTTTCTCTCTGAAATTCATCAGATTGGTAACAGGTGGATCAGAAGGCTTTCCGATCAAGGGGCCTACTAAAAACTGCTTGGACTAAACAGTTTTCTTTTGCTTCGTATCACCTTCTACAACTTTTATGGCAGTTACTGAAACTTCCACAATTTTGTCATTCTTTATCTTTAGAATGGGTGCTGTCAACAATCCTGGGGCACTGACATGGGAAACCAAGTTAAACCTTATCACTCGCAATCTACAAGAAACCCTTGGTGAGGACAAAATGACAACAATTTTAAAAGAGCGAGATTTGAAAGTATACTGGGGCACAGCCATAACAGGCCGTCCTCACATTGCCTATTTTGTACCTATGTCTAAAATTGCGGACTTCCTCAGAGCAGGTTGTGAGGTATGTGAAACATATTCAAATATATCGCTACTGTACAATTATTTAAAGTTTTCTGTCAACCTAAAATTGTGCTGTATGCTTTTTTTTAAGGTAACTATTTTGTTTGCTGATCTACATGGATACTTGGATAATCAAAAAGCACCTTGGGAGCTACTTGCCCTGCGCACCCAGTACTATGAAAATGTTATCAAACAAATGCTGCTTTCAATTAATGTTCCTCTTGACAAACTTAAGTTTGTGAGGGGTACAGACTATCAGTTATCGAGGTAGTCTTTTTTAAAATGTTGCTCTACTGCACACAAAAAACTAGCAATGTTTTAACACTTTGTTTCGTCAACAGGGAGTACTCTTTAGATGTGTACCGAATGAGCTCAGCTATCACAGAACATGATGCTAAAAAAGCAGGTGCTGAAGTTGTAAAGCAGGTGGAACACCCACTTTTATCTGGTTTATTGTATCCTGGTAAGTGCCATCTATCAAACATCCTCTTTTTGCCTCAGATTTTTGTTATGCATCACTCGTCCCTAACTCAAAGCGCACACGGTGCAGCAACTCTTGTGAAACCACGTATCTCCATCTTTGGGTGATTTTGAAAACCTATACCATTCTCTATTGAAAAGTATGGTTCCTAAAAAATCGCCCCTAAACGCGTCACATGGTTTCACTAGAGTTGCTGCGCTGTACGTGCTTTGAGTTATGGAGGAGCGTCATTATACAGAATATTTATATCATTTCCTGTGAATAAATTGTATTTTGCACTCAATTAAATTCCAGGTCTCCAAGCCCTAGATGAAGAATATCTGAAAGTAGATGCTCAGTTTGGTGGTGTTGACCAAAGGAAAATCTTTACTATGTCTGAAAAATACTTGCCTCAGTTGGGATATGCCAAGCGAATTCATCTCATGAATCCAATGGGTAAAATATGCTATTTTTTTAATTTCATTTAATTTCTTTTTTTTCTTTTATTTAATTTCTTTTTTTCTTTTATTTAATTTCTTTGTTTTTTTCACCCTGCCTAATTAATAATTTGCATAATAAGAAAATATTATGATTGCTTACAGTTCCTGGACTAACTGGTGGTAAGATGTCATCATCTGAGGAGGATAGCAAAATAGATCTCCTTGATCAACCAGCTGTAGTTAAAAAGAAATTGAAGAAAGCTTTCTGTGAGCCGGGAAATATCACAGATAATGGCATACTCTCATTTGTAAAGCATGTGATATTCCCCTTGAACTCGGAAGAAGGTGATTAGTTGACACATAAAATTATTTAAGAATTAAGAATTTTCGGTATTAATCTAATTTGTTCAATCCTGTGGTCGTAGGACTTTTGGTACCTCGCTCAGCGGACCATGGTGGAGACATCAAGTTCTCAACCTATGAAGCCCTAGAAGAAGCTTTTGCTAAGCAGGATATCCACCCTGGGGATCTCAAAGCAGCAGTAGAACCACGTATTAACAAATTATTGGAACCCATAATCAAACATTTTGAAGATCCTGAACTCAAAAAACTTACAGCTAAAGCATATCCTCCTCCCGCCAAAGCTGGAAGTTAGTTTTTTTCTATTATTGTCGGTATGAAGTATTTTATTACGGTTTCTTACCTTTTATCTTTCAAATGTGCCTTTAGAGGGTGGAGCAGGAGCTGGAGCTGGAGCGGCCACAGATGAGCAGACACCCAGCCGTCTTGATATTCGTGTGGGTAAAATTGTGGAAGTTGAAAACCATCCTGAAGCTGACAGTTTGTATGTAGAGAAGATTGATGTTGGTAAGTTCATTGATTGTATAATATGAAGTATTTGTATCCTTGAGGAGGCTGGGTTTGATTTACAAATATTTGCAGGTGAGGGTGTGCCTAGAACAATTGTTAGTGGCTTGAGGAACTTTGTTCCTATTGAAGAAATGAAGAACCGTGATGTTATTGTGTTGTGCAATCTGAAACCAGCAAAAATGAGGGGCATTGAATCTTGTGGGATGGTGTTATGTGCTTCTGTGTAAGTAGGGGGCATTGTTCCTCTGTGTATCATTCTCATATTTATATTCACATCATTGTTGATAAATCACCCTGTTTCCATACATTTTTTTTGTCTTTGGCAGTGATGAACCGAAGGCTGTTGAACCTCTGTCACCACCTGAGGGAAGTGCGCCTGGTGAAAAGGTATTTGTTGAAGGCTTTGAAACTGGCTCACCAGATGAAGTGCTTAACCCAAAGAAGAAGGTTTGGGAAAAATTATCGGTAAGCCACTCAATTGACCTCCTTCTATCCTATTTCTTTTACCTGGTTTTACACCTGCCGATTACAGTTCATTTCAATGATAATGGTTTTACAGGCGGATTTAAAAACATCATCTCAGTGTGAAGCACAATGGCAAGGTAACTCTCTCTTAACTAAATTAGGAAAGATCACTTGTAAATCTCTCAAATCTGCCCCAATCAAGTAAGATAAGAGCAAATTTGATTTTACTGAACAAATTATTTATTTGTCAATCTGCGTCAAGACATTAAAAAGTTGTGTCAGTGTTGACAATCAAAATGTGAACTAAATTTCTTCTGCTATGTTAAAAAGGTGAAGGTTAAGAAACTGTCAGTGACTACAAGGCTTCTGAAGTTTATTACAAATCTAGTACATTCTAATGAGCTTACAAGCTAGATTGGATTCTTTAGAACACTTCTAGGTTTTATTTACTTACTGATATTCAGACTATTAGTTTCAAAGACGTCACTTCAGAAAAACACAGCCAATTAGATTCTTTTTTCACTGGTTAGTATAGGAGACAAACAGGTCCAACCTATTAAAACACCAAAATTTCATAATTCTGAAAAAAATGAGGAAATATATCTATTTGACCGACAAAATTTTAGACTGCAATGTACAGCACAATCATTGCAGCATTTTTTACAACCAGTGCACACATTTAAGAAATGTTGTTAAAACATCTTTTGGTCCCAAAGGAAATTACAAAACTACATAGTCAGTGAGTACAAGTCTGTGGTAAAGATAAATAAGATGTAACAGAATGTCAAAAACCCAAACTACCTGATTGATTGTGTTCATCGAACTATTGAGATACGACATTGATAAAATAGAATTCATATGAACTGCTTTACTAAATCACACTGCATTAAATAATATCCTTTCCAAAGTGATACAAACAAACCTAACCATGACTAGCAAAAATACGGCAAAATAGGTATGATTGATGGCAACAAAAGCTACATGTGTAACAATTTAAAAAGGGATGTGAATAGCTAACATGAGCTACTGTGCTATTAGTGACTACAGACATGGCAAAGAACAAAACTAGAGATGACATCTTGCGCCTTAATTGGCTATATTCAACCACAGCAAATGATAGATAAAATATTTTAAACACAGCCTACATATACACAGTATCTGGAAAGCTACCTAAGCAATTTTAAACAATTGCTCACAAGAAGATATTACTGCTGAAGGAAGTTGGAATGGTTCTTTTAAAATTGAAACTATATTACTAAAGATAAAGAAGCTACCCATACTGAAATTAAAAAAAGATGCCTTTAAAAAAAGGAAACAGCTGGATATGAAATCTGCCCCCCCCCCTCCCTCCCCAACTTTAACTTGAACAAGGGTTTATTCAGTTATTCAATCATATTCAGATCAACATATGAAATACAATGGTAGTTGTTAAAATTGAAGTAATAAGGCAGTTGTGATCCATGTGGACAGCAAAATTAGGTCTCAAAAACTTGATCAAAATTAATTTTGATACCAAAGTGAATAATTTAACCAAAAACAATTAGTAAGTTTTAGTGGCAGATATCTTTTTTTAGTTGATATCCTGACTTCTTAAGTTAAGTGAGTGGCAGATGGCTGGCAAAAGTTAAAAGAATTTAGCCATGATATGGAGGAGGTTGCTTGCCTCCTGCACCATCAATTGTCACCACACCAGGCGTACTTTGATGTCCACTAGGGTTGTCTATGTCATCGTAAGCAGCTCGGGGTCTTCCTGGTGCTACTGTGTCTCCACGCCCTGCAACACGAGAAATCATTTTTGCTTAAAGCAAACAACTTTAAATCAAGGGTTTAAATAATTTAAAAACCAAGGGAGCGTTACCAAATATGTCACCCAAAGTGTTGCGTCCAGAAAATTCACCACCAATACGTTCGTTTGCAATACGACACAAGATTACACTTGTCACAGGGCGAATGACCAGATTCAGGATGGCCATGGCAATACTGAAGCGTTCACTACTACCTGTAATCGAAAATTGTCATCAGAGGGCTATAAGTTGTCCTCACTAACACAAACAATGAACGTTCAACATTACAAAACTCACGGAAAGTTGCAGGAAAGTAGGCGGCAAGCACGATGACATCAAACAGTATGGCAAGGACATTGATTATTACAGCCTATACACACAAACAAGTAAATGTCCCAAAATTAATGGTTCAGTGATGTTCAAACTGTAGACAAATAATTTCAAATACATACAATTTGAAGAGGTTCATCCGACTCTCTATGGTGGATTCCCCAAAGTAGTGACAAAATAAACAACCCATTGTAAAATAGATAGGAATCGGGACTCCAGAATCCTTGTATTCCCCTGAAAACAGAAGCAGTACAATTAAAAACAATGAGTGCCTAAGCTTTGAACTTTTCATCTCTGAAATTAAGCTTTCTCACCATGTAATCAAAATGAAGTGAACAAGGAAAATAAGCTGTAACAATACACATGAAAAATTAAGAACTGTAAATGAAAGAAAGTGAAGGGATGAAGCTTGAATATTGTAAGTAATAAGTAATGCTGATTAACAAAAAAAAAAACAAAGACAAAACAACTAAAGTTTGAAAATTTTCAGAAAATTGCTATAAAAATTTTAGTATATAATGAAATTGACTGAACATTGACTTCTGGAAAATGGTTAAAGTCAGATTGACATTACAAAACATGACACACATGACACATTACAAAAAATCCTTTCATATAAAAACAACAATGATAAAAACCTTGAGTGGCTTATTCTGCACGTTACTCAGATCAACCATTTCAGAATTTTTTTGCCGAAGAAGCTTCTTCCTGAAAGACGACAAAGCGACAGAAAGCTCGATTGGAAAATCAAAATACAAGATAGAAGTGACAAGTTACGTAAGTACACAACTGTCATGCCCCTCCCCCTCCATGACACATCACAATTTTTCATACCACGAAGCAGGTGGCTACGACAACTTCAGCGGTACGCAAAGTCGCGGTTGATACATCCAAGCACGTGAAGAGTTTGGGGCTGTGTTTGTCTTGCACACCGGGTGCGAAATACGAGATTGAGAGATCGGGTAGTGTTGCCACTAATAAGTCTGCCTGCTTCCAAAGGAAAGTCTTCTCTTAAACGCCGAAAGGAGGGTGGCCGTTGAAATATCAGGCCGGTTCAAATCGGTAAGTACGAGACTTCGTATCTCTTCCACTTCAAGTACTTATGGGCAAGTGGGATAAGTTGGTGTGACTTGACACATGATACGTTAAGCGTGATTCTGTATCCGTCACCCCTGTCATCTCTCTCTCTCTCTCTCACTCTCAAAATTCTCGCTGAAGCCGTGGGCATTGTCGTTTGGATGCGGGACTTCCCCCTCCCCCGCACCCCAACCATTACCATCCCCACTGGATAGCTGGATAGTCCTCGATTCTTCTGTGCCATATTCCGTGCTTCTCCCTCAGCCATACCAGGCTAAACCTCGAGCTAAACCTCCATCCGTCGGCCCAAGGCCTTCCCAACAGTTACGCCCGCTACTTGTTGGGAGAGGGCAGAAAGGGAGAGGGCGGGAAGACGTTCGGTACCGTCGGGAAATGAGGTCACGCTGGCGCTGGAATGACGTCATTGCGAAGCGTCCGTGACGTCACGGAGACGAGCCCCGTCGGGCCGCTGGTCGGGTTGCAGGCTCCGCGGGAATAGGGGAGGGGGAAACTACACCCCTCTGGAGATTGCTGAGACTGAAGAACCCTAGAGAATCTCACACGCCACAACCATTGGCAGCAGAAGAGAAAAGTGCAACAGGCGGTTAACACACTGGTTGTGGCCGGACCACTGGTAGGCCGGTCATGAAACCATGTTTAATCATAGGGGACAATTTAACGCCGCACTCAAACGTGTTAAAGCGGAGAGAGTTGCCGGCTCCACCGCCAGAGAGCGCCAAGGTGCTCTCCGGACCAGCTCCTCGAGGGGGGAGGGGAGGGGGAGGACGCATCGATCAGTTGCCCCTCCGCTCCGCCCCCCTCTCGCACCCCACGCCACCCGCGCAGCATCCCCGCCATGCTCCTCGCCCGCGCGCCTGCTGGTCCTGTCCTGCCGGTCTGCTGCCCCCACCCCCTCCCTGTGGGTTCCTGTCGGGACCCTGCAGAGGTCCTGTGAGGCTCGCGGCGGGAGGAGAGGGGGAGGGGGTGAGCCCCACCCCCACCTCAAGCTGCATGGTCTAGGGTTCCAGCCCCTACCCCTTGTTCTGCCACCACTTGCAGGGTCCTATGGGACAACCTGGCCAGTCGAGTCTCCACAGTGTGCGCTCGCCCCGCGTCGCCCCACGCCGCCCCACGCCGCCCCACGCCGCCCCACGCCGCCCACGCCGCCCACGCCGCCCCACGCTGCCCCACGCCGCCACCCCAGGCCGCACACCGCACCGCGGTTTGGCGCCACGCGACGCCACACGACCCCCCACGCGACGCCACGCGCCACCCCTCCCCTCCCCGGGGTGGGCCCCGTAGTACTCCTCGGCGTGCCTCTACTCCAGGCTCTCCAGCCCCGGCTCCAGCCCGGCTCCAGCCCTGGCTCCAGCCCTGGCTCCAGCCCCAGCTTCCAGTCATGTGCGCGCGCCGCGCCGGGGCCAGCAGCCGAGCCCGCGCCGCCCGCGCCGCCCTCGCCTCCGCGCGCAGCCACGCGCCCCGGGCGCACCGGCTGTAGCCGCCGAGCCGAGCACTGGGCAGCCGAGCCACTCAGACAGGCCGAGGTGTGACTGAGGTGAGTCCCAGGCGCGCGATACGTACTGGCGCAGTGGACGCCAAGGCGAAGTCCCGATTGTCTGGCGATCTGTACGGTGGGATGTTCCAAGCCGGACTTTATTCTGGTTATACTGTACCACATGCAGGGGTGCAGGCGAGATTGTCTACAGGGTCTCGCAACGGCGCCTTATAGCTCCGTGCCAGTATGCAACCCGTTCACACGCCTGCATGTGGTACAGTATTTTCAGAAAAAAAGTCTGGTGTAGAACACCGACCCTGCGCTGTACATTGAGAAAAATTACGTATCCTCTTGAATTTACAACATTTGCTATAATTTTAATTTATACTGTAAAATATGCTGTAAATTTGCGATAACCCATTATGGCTTGTTGATCAATTTCTAGTCCGAAGTGCTCGTAAATTTACGATTTCAGACTAATTTTACGACTTACATCATGGATAATTTTCCCATCAAGATTCACGACTATTTTGCTCAGTAAATGGGGATAATTTCGGTCGTTTTGTTTTTTCACGAACAAGTTCGAAACCGAAATCATCTAGGCCGTCGTTTTCAGCGTCGGTCACGCGGCACTGCCTACCCGAGCGCCTGACAGGAGCGAGGTAGGCAACGTTTGAGCACGCCCGTGGAGCGAGTTGCCTACCCGATGTTTTCAGGCGCCCGAGCTCCGGGTAACGGTTGAAGCAGTGTCGGGTGTCGCATACCTATGATTCGCTCGGATGGCACATGATGAGTCGAGGAAGAACGGCTCCGGCAACGGCCTGTGGCAAGAGAGGCTTTTCACGACACGGCGAGCTCACTGCGTTTATATACGCTTCCCTGCCTCTCCTGGAAAGCAAGGGTTATTTTTAGACCGTTGGAAATAACCCACCTGGTCCTCTGAGTTGCGAGACGGATAGGGGGGAGGGAAAGAGAGAGAGAGAGAGAGAGAGAGAGAGAGAGAGAGAGAGAGAGAGAGAGAGAGAGACGGAGGGGGGAGAGAGGGGACGAGTTTCAAAGGCATTCAGTTCCCGAAAAGCCTTTTCAATTGTATGGAAGAGAATATTGAACCACGCCGTCAGCGGCGTCAGCCCGCTCTCTGTGAGCCCATCCCAGCCACTCTACGTCAAAGAGGCTCGGGTGAGCAAAGTAAAATGCTGTGGTGTGGCAAGGCGTGGCGTGGCGTGGCGTGGGTTTGGGGGTGAGGAGGCGCAGGCTTGCCGCTCCCCACATATTCTTTCTTTGCTCAGAGATCGCAGCCCTCTTAGTTTAGAGCTAAACATCGATCGATCTCCTGGCCGTGTTAAGCGCGTTTGCTCTCTATTTTCACACGAACTGAAGTTTTACCCCATTCTCCCCTTCTCTCTCTCACACCCATTCTTCTCTTCCCTTTCGCCTTCCAGGTTTTCGCGATCATCAGTCAGAGGCTAGACTTCCCCAGAGGTTGGGCACTGGCTCTCCTTCCCTCTGGGATTTCATGTCCGGGTGCACGAGGGGAGGGGTGGGGTGTGGAGTGGAGTGAGCTGGTGGAGCACCAGTAGGACGGACAATCCCTAATTCCGAGGCATGTTTCCCGGACTCCTCTGCGGGTTCGACATATCTGTTTTGGACTGAACTCCGTAAAACCCCATTGTACCGCAATGGTAAAACAAATAATATTGCACGTCAATTGATGCATGAATTGATGTATAAGTTTCAAGTGTGCAAATTTTAGACAACTTTTGACTTTTCCGAAACGTACAGTACAGCAGCTTCACACCACGTAGTTAACTAGTCTAGGTCTATAGACCTGTGGGTGTCCATTTGTAAAAATAAAATTACGTTTACGAAACGCCTAAAATATCCACATCACGAAAGTGTGCAACGTGAGTTATACTATGGCATGTGCAAAATCATGATCTGCAAACGTTGTTGCACAAATTTTGCAGACTTATTTGAACAGTACGGCAGAGGTGTAGGGCCATGCTGTAATAATACGTTTTGTGTCTATGGACTGAGTTGACGTCAGTTTCCGTGAAAGACTTTTGCCTTACTCTGCAAATTGAGTACGTACTAGTGTACCGTACCGCGTTCCTTGTCCATGGCAGCAAAATTCTCTTACAAACGGAAGTCTTCATAACAGTTATCGTTACAATTTATTTTTTAAATACAAGTAGCTTTTCATGGTACTCTTTCGTAGCAGTTCCAATCTATACCCTTTTTTTGTCATAGCCCTCAGCTCCAGTTCCACCGAACCGAGAGACCCACCCACTTCTCCCTGAGAAATTTGCATTCGGGAACATCAAGGGATGAAGAAATCAATGCTTTTCGATATGGACGGGACCAACGGGAACGGGACCTTCATCCCGAAATGTCTCGCAAAAATGGCATGGTAGGATTTTTTTAGGTTGGGGGACAGGGGGGAGGGGGTTATAAAGGGAGGAATCGTAGCGGATGGCTACCATCAGTCTTTTATATAATTTAGGGGTG